CTTCTTCTTCTTCTCCTTCTTCTCCTTCTTCTCCTTCTTCTTCTTCTTCTTCTTCTTCTTCTTCTTCTTCTTCTTCTTCTTCCCCTCCTCCTCCTCCTCCTCCTCCTCCCTCTCCTTCTCCTTCTCCTTCTCCTTCTCCTTCTTCTTAGTGTCAGGCTACTAATTATTCAAATGTTCATGGGTCAGAACACTAATTGTACACATAGCCTCTCTGCTCTCTGCCCACTACTGACACAGCTGCAACACACCAGCCTTGTCTGCCACACCTCTAGGGGCATGAAACCTATCCTAAGAGTATGGTTGTATGCGTTCAAAGACCTGATGTCCAGCCAGCTGATGGTGCAGTGGTTGAGGTGACTGGATCCAACATGGCCAACTGTGTGGCTCAAGTCCTAGATCTGACACATCTAGAAACTTGCTGGGCATGTGTATGTGTGTGCTCCGAATCTGGATGTGGAGGAAAAATGGAGATGGGATTGTGGTGTGACCATTTCCCACGAGGGATGCTTTCTCACTATCTCATTCTCTCTTTGTCTATCTCTGGCAAGTATACACACCCTCTGGCCAATTAAAATAAATACATAAAAGATGTGATGTCGTAGAATGCCTAGCACAACGCCTGTAGACTGTCACCTCGGATTTACTCCCATGTGGTTTCTCTTTGATGTAATGTCCAGGATTGTTTCCCAGCCTTCTCCACCTCGCTCCAGCTTCTCTTGCTCCTCTTCACACACCAGGTGTCAGTCAGGCATCTTTGTGAGTACACACCCACCCTGCTCTGTACATTCCTGCCCTCAGGGCAAAGGAGGAAACAACAGAGGAGCTGTGTTTGATGGAATACGGACAATGTGCCTAGCTTGGTGCCAGGCATCTGTTGTAAGGTCATCTTATTACTGGTCCAGTTATCTAGTGCTGCCTGATGAACCACCTCTGAACAGTCACTGCGACAATAACTGTTATTTCTGTTACAAATATGAGCTTGATCTGGCTCCGCTGGGTCTCTCCAGGACCTCTTGCCAAGGTTAATCAGAGGGAATCATCTCAAAGGCATCTCACGCACAGGTGTGGCAGTCCATGCTGGTTGTCATTGGACCTCAGTTGAGGGCAACAATGGAAACAACCATGGCCTTTTCAGGTGCCCTGACCTCCTCAGAATGGCATCTGGCTTCTAAGAGCAAGTGAACAAGGAAAGGAGAGAGGGAGACATATATAGGAGCAGCTGGACAAACAGAGAGACAGAGAGAGAGGAGTCAAGTAGAAGTTGTATCTCTTTCCATGACCTTTCCTTGGAAGTCAGGCAGCACCATCACCATGCTGTTTTCCTAAGAAGCAAGTCATGGCCTTGAGAAAGTAGTCAAGGGGAGGAAATGAGACTTCGGAAAACAAGAGTGCCAAAGAACTTATAAATGTGCTTTAAAATCACAGCCGCCTGTAATAATCCCGCAAGGTAAATATTCTGCCCGATATAGAAAAGAGGACATTGAGGTTTAGCACATTACATAACTTGCCCAAGAAAGACTCAGTTTCCCTGCAAGGTTTTTCATTAAAAGAGAAGATATGGTTTACTTCTAAGGAAAGATTTCAATCTGATAAAAAGGAACAACACTGCTTTCAAGAATCTTCCATAAAAGGGAACCAGCAGTTAACGTAATGGCTATGTTGCTGGACTCCCACGTAGTCGACCGCGGTTCACGTCCCGGACCCAGTGGCTCAAAACTCACGCTGGGCGCGTGTGCATGCGTGCCCAAGGTCCTGAGAGGAGAATGGAGGAGAAGGGATTGTGGCGTAACCATCCCCCCTAGGGGGTGATTTCTTGCTTTCTATCTCTCTGTCTGTCTGGTGAGCGCACACGCCCTGTAGCGAAAACCTCTCAAAAAAAAAAAAAAAAAGAATCTTCCACAAAATAAGGGAGACACAGTCCTAACCCAGGGGGTTCCCTCACCTCATCAGAGACACAGCCCTCTTCTCAGGGAGCCCATCTGCTGGAGGGTTTGGAGTCAATTATCTTCAGATAATTCCCTGTCCCAATCTGGAAGCATGGACCCTGCATCATGAACTTGCTGGTTAAAATACATTATGCTTGGCTTTCATCCCTCACGTTGGACAATGGAGGTTGTGTCCTCTAGTATTTTTTGGAGGTGGATTTCTTTTAATGAATTAGTGAGAAAAATACTTTATTATCTCTACTCCTACAAAACTTTTCTATCAGGATTCTAGTTCTCGTGTACCAAAAAGGGATTTGGATTGAAAATCAAATGGAGTTTTACTTACAGACCTGCCAATAACTGAGCGGACCACTTTCCCTCTCTAAGCCTGTTTCTCCAGTGTGCCATGATCATGGGAATCCCAGCACGGCCACACTCCCCAGCATTGTAAGAATCAGTGACATGTCAGAGACACATTTCCTGCATGAAAATTTGTAAGTACAGATCCTACAAAGCCCACAACTCAGGGCTCTCCGAAGAATGTCTCTGTAGAAGGCCAGTTCACATGGGTGGAAGGTCCCTGGAGCTTGATCAGGGCAGGAGTAGGTAACAAAAGGCACAGAATTTGCACTCACCCCTCAGAGATGCCAGAGCCCCACATTTTCTCTCTGAATGTCCTACTACTTGTTCTTGTCTGCAGGTCACCCTGGGGTCTCTGAAGGTCTAGGGCCGGTAGGGAGGAGAGTTGTAGAGACATTTGGACAGGCCTTGAGGCTAGAAGCCATAGATCTGGGGAAAGACCAGAATTCTCTATAAGACACACAACCTCTCTGAGAGTTGCCTTTCCTCATTATGAACTAGAGACAAGTCTGCGTTCCATAGTCACGGTGAAGAGCTATTACACTTGGAAGTGTGTAAATTTCTTCCTGGTAGGAAGAAAACTTTCAGTGGTTGTTTTTCCCCCTAATCTTCACAGCAAATTTAAGAATACTATTTTTTTTTTCAAAATGAAAGGTGAAAGTGAAAGGTGAGGATCTAAAAGATCCAAAAAGATGCTGAGTCTTGTAGACAGTCATGTCAGAAATCAACCCAAATTACTGTTCATTCATTCATTCAGCAATTACATTTCAATTTGTGGTCCTATGCTAGGTCTTGGGTATGCATTGAAGGCTAGTTCTTGTTCTTGGGGGCAACACTTTGGAATGAAAGACACAGTTGAAGCAGGTGGTCACAAGTTCCCTGAGTGTTTTGCACAAGAACTTCAGAGAGTTGCAATGAAAGAGAAAAGCCTACTTAGAAGATGAGTGAAAGATGAAGCTTCTATAATAAAAATGGAGTTTGTTCCCATTGATGTTTTCTGAGGGATGTGCAAGCTGGTGTTTCCAGGAAGAACTATTACAGAGCCAGTTCACTGCCTTGAGGGAGTTCAGTTGTTTCTCTATGTTCTCTAGTGCTAGGGACCATGGACCAGCTTTTCCCAATGGAAACAGGGAATGCCAAGCTGGGGAGCTAGACTTGTCAAGACAGGGCAGAGGCTGTCCTTAGGTCCTCTGCGGAGTCTGGGCCAGAGGATGGGTCAAAACAGCAAGCTGTCCAAGTCATCCTAGACCAGTTAATGCAGACATGACCTCGACACTGTGTGCCCCCTTTCCAGCCAAAGGAGACTCCCCTCCCCTTCCAGACTAGCATGCTCATCAGAGGCCCAGATACATCTGTGTTTTCTCTATGAGTATTCACTCCATGTCATTTTCTAGGGTCACCTAGGATCTTCCTAGGTGCTTCAGTTTCCTCATCTATAAATGGGAACAATAACAGTCCCTTCATGGATTGCTCAAGGATTAAGAGTTACTATATACAAAGTGGCTAGAACAGTTCTGACACATGGTAAGGGCTCAGCAACCATTACATGTCCATCATTCTATGACAAGTTGTCCCAAAGGTAAGAGTGGGATCACGCTCTCTGTTGAGCCTCTTGCAAAAACACATGTGTAAGTTTTTGGTGGTAATGGCAAAGACAGCAGGGATGATGTAAGGAGGGGTTGCAGTGGGGATAATGGTTAGTCTCCAGAGAGATGCTGATGGTGAGGATGATGGTGAGGATTTAAACAATGATCAAGTTTCTCTGTAATGACGGCTGATACCCAGCAAGGAGCAAGCTGTGAACAAGTAGTTTTCAAGTGTCCATGATGGGAAGGCAAGTTCTATCTCCCTCTCATTTCCAGAGAAGAGATGGCTCCTAGGCATTTCCTCTCCTTTCCTTATCTCTACGTGTTTCAAATGATGAGATTCTAATAAAGAAATGTACAGAGTAATGGGCAGGGTTAAGGGAACCAGCAAAGAAGCCTGAAATTTCTAGGTACTGGTAATAGTAGGAAGTTGTTCCTACATCTATCCTAAAAATAAAAGGGGAGCGGGGACAACCTTACTGGAGACAAGGAGAATCTGGAGCCAGAGAGGGAATCCTGGGGTGTAATTACTACCAAAGATGCCCAGTTGAAGCAGGGAAGGAGCAAGGAAGAAATATCCCACTGGGCATCTGCCTTCTGCAGCAGGCATAGAAAGTGAAGATGTCCCTGAGGGAAGCTGTGAGGAGCATGTGCTTTCATCTTGGGTTCCAGTTATCTTGGTGACACCCTTGAGACATGACTCATGTGTCATTCCCTCTCAATGTCCCCACATCCTCCATGTGGTGCTGAACTGGCAGCCAGCTTATCAGTACACAATGCATGTTAGCTGGATGAATACAGGCCTTGTTCCAGACAGGTCACTGTCAGAACCTCGTTATCACAGGAAAAGGAAATGCCACCCTTTCTTCAAATGACCACTTCTATGTCTGTCTCTCAGGACTCAGTCAAGAAATCCTGATTTTTTACCCTGAATAACTCTCAGCTATTCACTATTCCCATCCCACAGTGGGAACAAAGCAGCAATACCCTATCATTCTCCGGAGTCCCCTCGCTGGTGCAGGGGCTGAATTAAGGCATCACGCCTGTGCTCCCAAGGGTAGGGTGGGATGGCTGAGGGTGCTTGTGGCACTGCCTAAATATTAACTGCCAGTGACCAACATACTTGCCACGAAAGGAAGACTTCTGCCCCTGCAAGACATCCAGGAGTAAATGTCCGCAGAGGGTCTCCTCAAGCCCCACTTCTGGGAAAACCAATCACCTGGGAGGAACCAGCTCCACCTGAGTCATCCACATGCGTTCAGACCCTTCTCAGAGTAGCCTTGTCTTTTTCACTGCCAGTCTCCAAGTGTCTACATCCCATATTTCTCTTTAGCCTCTCCAGTGAGGAGCAGACTAGGTCAGGCAGGTCACAACCTGGAAGCAAACTAGAGCCGAGATTGCTAGCATC